GATGATAAGTACTCCGGCGAGTATAAGAGTTACGTTGGAGAGGATGCTGCATTGGTATTCCTAAAGACTGTATTGAAAGAGTCCTTCAGATGTAGAGATATGGTCAACAATATATTCAAGAAAAAGATGGTAATTACACCCAAACAGGAATTCGAATTCCAAGCTGCAAGAAACTGTTCAATATGCGGTAACGACCTTGGTTAGGTTAGGGTAAGGGACCATGACCATGTAACAGGAATGTACCGTGGGGCTGCTTACAATATATGTAATCTGAAGTACAGAATTACATGGAAAGTGCCTGTGGTCTTCCACAACCTGAGAGGTTACGATAGTCATCTGATTATGCAGGAAATTGGTAAGTTTAAGATGAACATCAACGTTATTCCAAATAATATGGAAAAATACATCTCATTCTCACTGGGTAAGAATCTGGTCTTCATAGACTCTATACAGTTCATGGCTTCTTCACTGGAAGCACTGGTAAGTAACCTTTCACCTGAGGACTTCAGGATAGTAGGTAAGAGGTGGAAGGGTGAGGACTTTAACCTAGTAACACAAAAAGGAGTGTTTCCATATGAGTTCCTCGATAATATTAGCAAACTCAATACAGAAGGTCTTCCGAGTAAGGATAAGTTCTACTCATCACTGTATGAGTCAGAGGTGAAGGAAGAAGATTACCAAAGAGCTCAAAAGGTATGAGATCACTTTAAGATGAAAACCATGAGAGACTACCACGATCTCTACTTGGAGACTGACGTTCTTCTGCTGGCTGATGTGTTTGAGAACTTCAGGAGAACATGTCTGGAAAGTTACAAACTTGACCCCGCACATTACGTGTCAGCACCTAGTCTGAGTTGGGACGCTTTCCTGAAAAAGTCAGGTGAAGAAATAGAACTCGTAAGTGATATGGATATGTTCCAGTTCTTCGAGAAGGGTATGAGAGGTGGTATAAGTTATATTGCTCATAGACATTCCACAGCTAATAATAAGTACATGGAGACGTACGATGAGTCGTCTGAGAACAAGTACTTAATGTACCTCGATGCTAATAACTTATATGGCTGGGCAATGTCACAACCACTACCTAACGGAGAGTTTGAATGGGTTGAAAATGTTGACGACATAAATATAGATGATTACCTGGAGGACAGCAATAGGGGCATGGTCCTAGAGGTTGACATGGAATATCCAGAGAAACTTCACAATCTACATAACGGATATCCTCTAGCACCGGAGAGTAAGGAAATCAGTGCTTCTATGTTGTCAGATTATGCGAAGAGTATTGCTGAGAAATTCCAACTGACAATTGGAGGAGTAAGAAAACTAGTGACTTCACTTGGTCCTAGGAAAAATTACGTCTTACATATACGTAATCTAAAACTGTACGTTTAAGTGAGAAGATGAAAGTGATGAGGAAGAAATCACCCACGCTGTACCATTCAAGTGCATCAGTGCTGCTCGTGAGAAAAACTACTACCAACATCATTTGGAAAATTAAATTAAGGCATAATACCTCACTCTTCATGAACAAGATAAAATAGTGAATATGGCCAGCACCATTGAATCCAAGGGACGACCTCCTAAAACTGACACGATCTTTCTCATGGATTCGTACTTGCAAGAACGCGTGTTTCAGGTCTCCCGTGATCAAAACTGGGTGAAATCGCGCTCTCACCAACACATTCCACAGCTGGTTTTGCAGGGGTGGTCCTGGGTTGAGGCACTCGTTCAAAGATGGCGAATTCTCACTGGCACGAGCGGACGCGTCGTACACAATCCTCAGCTTGGTGCTTTCGGCAGATTCCTTCACAACCGGTTTGTGAGGAATGTAGAACTCCCGTCCCTGAGGAACTTCGCTCGCACGTTCAACTATTCCTTGGTCGAGTTGATCTTTAATCACTTGGTCGTATCGCTCGAGAAGGTCAGATCTTTCTAGCTTTCTCACGAGGCTGTTCAATCGTCGTAAACTTCCCGATTTGTTGTTAGGAAGAGGTGGGTGATTTCCGTTCCATGGTAAGGTTGTCTCGTACCATCTCTCTGAACTTCGTTGTAATTGTTCTTGGAACTCATTGTAAACTTCGTTTTGATCACCAGTTGGAGAGTCTTCTAAACCGAGAACGTCGAGACGACATAGCTCTTCGTAGTCTGCGCTGGAGGTCTGGGTCAT